AATGAACGAATTGTTCTTTTCAAGTGCTCTGCCTGCGCAATTTTCTAGTGCACCATCTTGAAGGTAGCGAACATCATGGGTGGAGGATGGAGCGATTTTGATGACGTCAGCTACTGGTCGACCAGACCCCTTCAGAGCACTGATGGGCGGGGAGGGGGGGGTGATCACTCAAAGCCGGGTACCCGACAGGAGGCCCGTCGCGGCAAGAAGCAGAGTCAGCGGACGAGTCGCAGCGCGTGATGTGCGATGTAGGACGTACAATGGTACATTCTATTTAACTTGACGCGAAATCACTACAGTACGCGCTGCGACTCGTCCGCTGACTCTGCCTTCTTGCCGCGCGACGGGCCTCCTGTCGGGTACCCCTTAATGCCCTTCCACCGATCATGCTCGATGACGTCATCAAGATCGCCAGTCATCGCATGTTTTGTCTTTCGAGTACACACATTTCATAAAGGGATTGATATTTTACTTAAAAGTGACACAAGTGCGCTGATTCTTTTGGAGTTTGTGCTCCAAATTTCCAAATCTGGCTCAGATCTAGTGAGGAGATCGAATAATGAAGAGGTTGCTCCAGCGTCAACTGCGGCGTCTACCCCGACTTCAGAGTTCCATCACTCCCCCTTTCTCAGTAACTTGGTGTCGATACTAATGACTTAGTTGGAAACTAGTTCAGATGGCACACTTTCGCGATCTTCCAGCTCCGGGCGACATCCCGGAGAAGCCCGTGGAGCGAGCTCATGTGTGAAACTTTCAACAAGACAAATCTTACCAGAAATTAAAATATTTTCTTCCAAATTTCATCAAAATTTTTTTCATCTCTTCTGTAAAATACGCCTCGTCTTTTGAGTTGACTAGAGGAACAGAAAGTTGGTCCCTGCCATCACTAGCGGCTCACTACTGAACCACCGAAAAGTTTCGTTTTAATCTGAGTGTATAACTTTTAGCGAGTTGCTGCAACGGTGAGCGAGAAATTGCTGAACGATCACTCTCGTCTCTACCCAGGACTTCAAGATATCCGAGAGCTGTCTGTGCAATATTGCGCTAGATGTGAGTTCAGAGTTTTATTTTGCATTACAATTGAAACATATCGTGAAGCACGCGGTGTCTGCGCTCTCTCCTACAACGTGCTCTCTCGTGTGCCTCCTCTTCTAGCGGTACTGTGTCTC